GCGCTTGAGCCAGTCAGCGGCCGAGTGGTGCGTCAGTACCTCGAGGCCCTGGGCGGGCGGCGAGAGGTTGCCAGAGCGGCTGCCGAGTCGTGTGCCGACGGAGTGGCGCAAACACCGTAAAACATGGCTGCACTGTGTACCCCTTTGGGTGGTCAAAGCTTCGTATCTAATGAAGTGAGGGACCACCTCGTCCGCCACACTTGCTCCCACTTTGATATCATTGATAGATGATAGAAAAAAGGCGCGAAGAAGAACAGCGCCAGGCTCGGACTGGACACCAACGCGGTATGGGTGGACGCGAGACATATGTTGATGACGAGCTCTGGGGGGGGGGCGGGGGCCCCCGGAGGCACCGTGCGCCGCGCAGCAGTCCGTGCGCAGTGCGGAAACGGGGCCCCGGCTCTCTCTACTAGTCTCTACTAGCACCGACTTCCCGATCTAACCCGGTCTAACAGAGGGCAGATTTGGAGAGATCTCGAGGAGTACATACAGATAGACCCTCCAACCATCAGAAAACTCCGACCTGATCGGTCGTACTGACCGCCGACAGATCACTCCAGGCAGCAGACAGGCCGAAGTCTGCACGCGGCCGGCCGGGCGAGAGGCTTGACACGATCCGACCCTGCGACCCTGACGCTGCTGCTCTAGCTATCAGCCATGCACTACTGACTGCTGCCACAATATGCGACCGGTGCTGGCCCACTTGGCGGCCTTCCCGGTCAGTGGTGAGGCGCAGTTCAGAGCTGTCGATGGCGCGATGCCGCACTGGTCCCACATTGGTGACACGAGACCACCACGTTTGCCGGTCCAAGAGAGAGATTCCGGCGCTGTCGTGAGAAGGTGCATGGTCCCTCTTGACTGCGCATGCGCGCGAGGCTGCGTAGGCATAGCCTCGAGAGTGCCAGCAGCCAATCCGAGGCATTTTGTGACGCGCATTGCGTCAGAAGCGTGCACTCGCTGGAAGGACACCTTCCTACTGGCCGTACGATCAGGTCGTCACTGAATGCTGGAGACTAAGGCCGCGAGCTATGCAGGTGGTCAATTGTGCAGCTTGGCACGGTCAGCAGCGCCGACAGGCTGTCGCAAGGCGTGATAGCATCGACCATGGTTGGTCGCAATGCGCGAAATTCTCATGAAACAAGCAGAAAATCGCGCAAGAAAAATGCCAAAAAATCAGGGCGGGCCATGGGACCCCATCTCCCCCCGCATGGGTGCCCCCTAGGGGCCCCGCCTCCCCCCAGACAGAGATGACGAGATGATGACACGCTCGAAGCGACACACAGACAAACAAGCTCACAAGACACACAGCCAGCGGGCTGCCACACACCCTGAGTGGGCGTACACA